ATATATATATATATATATATATATATATATATATATATATATATATATATATATATATATATATCTTATATAAATGTGCTCTTCTCTGTTTTCTTATATAAATATAAATGCCGCTTTGTTTTACAACATTTGACGACAAATCTAACCATGCATATATAAAGGTATTTTTGTGAGTTTTTTGTACATTTTCGAGTTTCTCCAAATTTAATTGTAAAGGTGCAGCAATGTTCTTCGAAATATCCTCGCGTGGAGCAAACACACATTCGGTACGTAACTTTTGTATATCAAACATTTTACGCTGATAGCTCGAGAGATGTCAATTTTTAAATATTTTATCGTTTCGGTTACACATTTGAGCAACGTCCCAATTTACTTTTGCACGTACTTTCATTGTGTGAAAGCATTCGTAATTCTGTGAAAGCGGCACGATATAAACTTTGCAGAGCAGGTCAGTATTTTGTTGGCGCAAAGTTCGCAAGTCTGGCATCTCCTTAAGTCGGGCTTCCCTCGTGAGCGCGTTTGACACGAGTCGACGTGAGATTTTTCGTAACTGAATCGATATTGTATATCATATATGGATGGCTCCGTGCGACAATGGAGTGCGGCTTTCCAACTACGTCGTGCTCGCCCTGCTTTTATTGTTTCTCGTTATGCCGTAACGTCGAGATCGCATCGACCTGCGGATATCAAATGCACACGGCCACCGCATGGAACATGGATATGGGTGTCGTTGAATGATATAAGAGTGCTCTCTCGTGGCGATCATGTAACCAATTTGTTGGTTTTACGAGCCGCGAGCAATATCTTTATCGCGTCGCCGTGTATTGCGTACTTGCGTTATGTACAGCGTTATGTACAGCGCGTCTGAGACTTCTTCCTTTTTTTTCATTCCTCCCGTAAAGTCCCCACTTTGATCCGCGAGAGGAGAACGTGTCATCTTCGCGGTGTGATTTTGCGGTCCACTAGTGAAGTAAATGTCCGGACATTGTTGTTGTTTTTTAATCTCCAGTCGCGTTTAAAGTAGCTAGTCTTTAACACGTTCGCACATGTAACAGCAAAATCTTTTTTTTTGTTATCATTATTAAATTTTATATAATTTTATATAATTACGTAAATAAAAAAAAGATAAATACGAGGTTATTTGTGTGGGGAGAGTCTTCTAAGTAAACTGTGGTAGTAAACGTGTTAATTATGAATATTTAAACTTTCAACATTATATATATTTTTTTATGTTGAAAGTTTAAATATTTGTATTTCAGGTCGAAAAACGACAAGAATGTCCGGGAATTGGTATTTTTGCCTTAAACGCGATGGAAATTAATCAGCCGTATCGTTCGACGAGAGAATCGTCACGCGTATACTGAGAGAAAAAAGTGGTCGATTTAATTAAAATTGTAGTTATTTTTGGCCCCAATCATATTTTTTTATTGCTCTAACACGGAAATGGTAGCAGTAACATGCGCGTATATGGTTATTGTCGCTAACATTATTGTAGAATTTAATAAATAAGAAACGTCGATTTTTTTTACAATTTGTAGCTCAATTACTTCTCTATGTGATTATCGTTAGAAATATCAGTTCTTTTCTCAGTGTAACGACTTTTGCGCGGTAGCAGCTGGCGTCAAAAAATCGTTTGATCACGGCACGTTTACAAAATAACGTTCACCGTAAACTCGTATCCCAAGCCTACCGAGTCGTGTCGGCCGCGCATTCCTTCTTTCTTTTGGCCCTTTTTTCTGTTTGTTTCGGACGAGATTTTTAACTCGCGCCACAGACGGCTCCCTCATTCGGGCACCTTCGCGCTCGTCTCTCCGTTTTTCGCTCTATCTATCATCTTCCCAGCGCGTTTGACGCCGAGCGTGCGAGTTCGCCTTTCGCTCATCGTCACAACCCCCGCATTTTCGGCTCTTTCTCGCAGACGTGGCACAGAGACGGACGGCCCGTCGTCTCGTTCGTCGCTGCTGGCATGCTGTTTCGCCGCGAATTAGCGTAATTAAGTCGTCGTCGCTGCGATTGACCGTAGTTAAAGGGAGATCGGCTTTTAGGGCAAAAACCGCCGCAGCTAGTGATGACTTCCAGGAGCTCGCGGGAGAAGGCGGCAGACAGAATGATTCGGCAATTCCTCGCGGTACTTGATATGACTTTTTATTGCATATATATATATACATATATAACGATACCAAGCAAAAGTCACACATATCTCTTTCGCTATATATTATATATAATCGCTCGCATACATACACATATATATCTATTGTATGTATACTTACATATATATATATTATATGTATATCTGTGCGTGTGCGTGTGCATGTGTGTGTGTACGTATCTGCCGAACGGTCACGCGTATCGAGTAACGATCAATAAGCTGTTTCTCTTTCCGGCTCTGATAGACTCTTCTCTCTCTCTTTCTCTCTTTCTCTCTTTCCCTTTCTCTCTTTCTCTTTCATGGCTCGGAGGTATGCGGTTACGTCCCGCGTGTAATTTCCGCAAAATTTCACGTCGCGCGAGATTCAACGAGGGGGGGGGGGGGG